TGGGAGTTGAAGTCCACTCATCTTAAAGTGGCCAAGTTTGGACAACACTGATTTAAATTAAAAGGGGGCCGCCTAAAGTCATGAAGCTAAACATAGCCTTTTTCTTTCAGCTGGGTTACGAATTTCCTAGGGTTGCCAGTGAGTCGTCTTTTAGCCTTCTGGGCTCTGAAAATGTTAAAGGTTGCTCTCTTTACATTTTTTTTTAACGCAAATATTTGCAGCTGCAACGTATCCAAGAACTTGCGATGCTTTCCAATTGAAAACAACGGGGAAATCATTAGTGGACTTGCTAATTGGCCGCAGTTCGGCAAAGGAGGCACAAGAGGGCAGCACCGTTAAAGAAACTGCTGTATTTAATAATCATTAACATTGCAATGCCTCTTAACACCTACATCAATCTTACATTAACATTGCCCCAGAAACTCAATGCTTTTAGCCGCTGATTTATATCCAATACTATCGCATCTATACATTTAGACATATTTATTCAACATATTATAATGCATGACAGTATAATCCCAATCATTTCAGAGCGTCTATCCAAATCATAAAGCCTACCCTCTTACAATGACCTCTAGATATTTTTGATAAATCTTTTTTTTTTCCCATGGGGGGGAAAAACATTGTTTTTCCGTAAAGGAGAAGGAAATGAAAAGAAAAAGCCAAAAAAGCCAAACCACAATAGTTTAGAGCTCTGTACGTGATACAGATAAGCGCATCTTGAAATGCTTCCACGGATGACAGCAGTGCTCTCCGTGAGTGTTCACATTCAGGTTTCCTAACTGGTTTTCTAGAATACGAGAACGAGATTTTTTTTTAATCTACAAGCTTGGATTTCTTGGGATGGAGGTCACCCAGCTTCCCTGCACATCCCTTGTGGCTGGGCGAATCACCCGAAGGCTGGAGAACCCGGCCTCAAGGTGTAGCGTTTGCAAAGGCACTGGTTGGAAGCATCCTGCCGGTGTGACCGCCTGTTTGCCGCTCGGCTTCGCCGCTGCGCTCTTCGTACGGCCATCATCATATCATCATCATCACCAAAGATGCATGAAATGAATGTCGGCTGCTGTTCTCGGGTGCCAGTCCCGAAGTCTGCTTTCTGGGGCTCCTCCTCTTCAAATGCGTTTTGCTGGCGCTGGCGGCTCTCACCCGCGCTCTTCTTCAGACTTCCAGCTCCGTCTGAGCGAGTCAGCAGTCAGCAAGTTTCAGGCCTGAAAAATGACAGGGCTCCATTTGTTACCCCATTAGTGGCTGGAGCTGCCGTACAAGGAGCAAGCTCTCTGCATTACTAACAGCTTATGCGTGTTGGAAAAAGCTGCACTTTGCCCCCCCCTTTGCAATATTTACCAGGCCAGATTCTGTATTGCAATGAGGGTGTTTGGGGATTGCAAATTACCGCAGTCTTGGTCCTTGACTTTCAGTGCCCTGCACCGAAGGCAAATGTTTTGTGAATCGTAATATGAGTACAATAATTTAACATTCCCGAGAAAGCATTTGAATCCAGTTAGGTGGGATCTTGCAGAGGGGGATCGCGGTTTTCTTTTTCCGGCTGGTGTTTGGAGTTTTGGAATATCGGGGATGGGTGTCATTTGGGGAAGGGGTAAGATATAGGGACAAACGAGTGGTTAAGTGTAAGGAAAGAAGTTATTTTAAAGAGACTGGATTCCCGAAACATTTTATTTCTGTCCAAGTAGATTTTTAAAAATATCCACGCGCACCTTGGTTCTCCCAGGTGACGTACTATGCCAGTACGTCTGAAATTTTGGCAGCTTCCAGAGCTAAGCTGTCCAATGAAGGCTGACAATGAACAATAGTTACTAATAACATGCTCTTGTATATTTTTCTCGCTTTAATTACATTTACAAAATAAGCCATATGTCTCTGGTAAATTTAGCTTTTCAAGGCGCAGAGAGCTTTTGTTTATATTTTTAAAATTCACTTATTTGTCAGGTTTAAATCCTGGCATATGGACCACATTCTCTTCCCATTTTTTCTCCCACAGCAACTATCTGAGGTTCAGCCGAGATAGAATAATTTCCCGAAGTCACCCATCGAAACTGTAGTCATAAGAAATATTAAACATAGATTTTCTAGTTCCTAGTCCAAAGTCTTAGCTATACCTCCACACACCCATTGAAACATTATAATTATTTACAACTAGCAATCCAATATTGTAAAATAACGTGTGTTTGCTGTCTCACAAGGCTGTTTGCAAACAGAATTCTGTACGTCCATTGGTCATTTGGATTTTCTATTCTATCTTTCGGTGAACTTCATCAAATATGGTATTCTAGTCGCAAAAGGAAGAAGGACAGAAAGTGGGAAGGCAGCTAAGCCGAAGAATAATAGGAAGAAAAACATCAAGGAATTCTGACTTGAAAAGCTCCATGACATAATGCAAGGATGGGAAGTATCAGGAGATAACTCTGAAGAAGGCTTAATGCTTAATTAGGGCTTTATGTCATTGCCCTAAATACTACGTGGACGTGTCCAGGAAGTTCAGCTTGACTCAAGGGAGACTTTATGGGTATTTTTATGATTAGATGAGAAGTGGGGAAATTATAGAAAAGCCCTCAGTAAAAAAGAAAAATTGTGATGTCCACTTTGGGTAACTGCCTAAACTGTTTGTCCACATTATTACTTCATGCTGTCAAGTCTCTATGCAGTGATTGTATAGCGGGCGTCCGACAATTGTTTCATTTGTTTTCATGATTAAAGGCTTCTTTTGTGTTATCGGTTGCTGGTCCCCTTCGTTTAATTGCAAATCCATTGAAAGTGTATTTGTTTCATTACTCCCATTCATTGTTTTCTTTCTTGAGATGATATTTGCTGTCGTCTCTGGCCACAGCAAAGTTTCCCTCTGTGGCTGTCTCCTATTAGCTCCGTTGTATTTTTATTAGACCTTACAGAATTTGGGGATGAAAATTGCGTCCACTGAAAGTTTCTTGTCCCCAGGAAGAATGAAGTTTCATCTTCAAATTAGTACAAGTTGGAGGAATGAAAAAGAAAAATACGTGTTTAGTTCTGAAATGGAACATCAGGGACACCACGGAAATTCTGCTTAATTTTTCATTTGGATCTAAATAAATGTTCACCCCAGATGAGCATCTGAGGGGTACATCAAAGAGACAGTTGTGGTAAATGTAAGAATGTAAAGAACTGGCGATAGACAATAAAAAAAAGTGAAAGTTTTGGCCTGGCACTCACGAAGTTAAAGGAAACGTTCAGTTAAAATATCTACCCTTCAGAGTCGGGAATGAATGAAGCAACATGTAAATTCAGTAAACAAACAAAAATTATTAATGCAATCATTTCGAAAATAATGTGGTAGTTTTAACCTGCCGTCTTTGGCATGAATATGTGTTAACGCCATCTAAAGAAATGAAAATATTACCTAATTGTGTGGAAATGCATAAGATCTAAAACGTTATCACTCTTGATCTTATCTCTTTGCAGTGCTTTGCTGTTCGTTCTCTGGGATGGGTAGAAATGGCAGAAGAAGACTTAGCTCCTGGAAAAAGCAGCGTTGCTGTAAACAATTGCATTCGGCAGCTCTCTTACTGCAAAAATGACATAAGAGATACCGTCGGCATTTGGGGAGAGGTAAGAAATGCCTCTGTTTTATTTCTTGACCTTCCTTCTTTGGTGCCACCGACTTTTCCACCTTCTTTGAAGGTCAGGCCAGAGGGACTGCCTTTGGATAAAAGGGCAGGTGAAACAAAATCTTCGCTGTGAGATGATCTTGGGTGTACAAATGGACAATGCTAGTACTTTCTTCGTAGTATTTTCTTCGTGGAAAGGTGGAAGGGACCTTCCTAATTGTAGCTGTAACATAAGCCCTGAAAGAAACTTCTCTCCAGCTTTTGCCATCAGTAATGGTGATTGGAACCAGAGGCCATCACGGGTCTAGGAAAGCCTTAGTTGAACGCTTCCGAGCAAGGCAACTTCCGAATGTGTCCCCTTCAACTCCCAGAATTCCCCAGCCACTGCGGCTATTGCTGAAAATTCTGGGAGTTGAAGTCCACACATCGAAAAGTTGGTTAAGCTTGGGAAACACTCTTTCAGTGCTTACGATTGTAATTATAACTAGTGGTTATAATACAAAACAGAAGAATTATGCTGACAGACCAAACTTAAGTTCCACATGCCCAATACTGTGTCTGTTTCCCACTTAAGTACCGTATTTGGTTTTAAGAGAAAAAGTGCTGCTGGGCTTGAGAGAATCTGTTTAACATCCAAAAAGAAAAAAGAAAATTCCAATCGTAGACAGGAATCAGTTGCTATACTTAAATAGCCAAACTAAAACGGACTGGCATTTAAAACAATTGCATGTATTCTGAAAAGGGACAGTCTCCCTCATTCTCCCCTACCTTCCAGCATAGGTCATCACTGTGTAGTTTTGGAGTCATCATAACAGACCATCACAACCAAGTCCAAATGTTGTTTTCTTAGCTTGGAAGCCTTCATAGGAAAGGCAGGAGGTCCAGGTATTTCTTTGCTAACAGCGAAGTGGTTCTTGAGCTGATGTGCCACAAAACCGGCCAAACTTCGCCATGCTCAAAACACGGATGGTTGAAAGCTCTCTGACATTCTATTCACGTTGCGAATGCCAGGTATTTTTCCATTTGGAACTGAAGCTTCTCGGTTGCCAACCAACGTGCTGCTTGTGAAGTCGAAAGGGCAGCTATGTTATTCTGGACACTCAGATCTACACCTTTGCGGGCACATAATTCTTGCTGCATTTCCCAGGCTGCTCAGTGCCTGCCTAGTAAAGCCATGAGCTGACTCTACATTTGTAAATTTTTGAAGCCACACATTTGCCCCAAGCTCTTCTACTTCAGTTTTCAGAGCACGGTTTAGGAAGCCCTTCTTACTCAGTTTGCAGTATTCAGATCCAATAATTAAACAGCCTGATGTACAGGATGTTATATGACTAATACCCCCAGTCCCTGACACAGCTTTGACTAAATAAGTGGGGCTGTATCTCCATGTCCCCCACAGCACAGGTAATGGGTTAAGGTTCTTTCAAGTAATGAAATATTTGTAAAGCCCCTTATTTCTGCCACATAAATCAGCATCGGGATGGCCTTCACTGTGCAAAATGTTAAGATTGGCCTAATTAAGCCTCAGTATTCCTAGTTGCAAAGCTTGCTTAAGCACCGAGAACGTGCGCCAAATCTCAGCATGCATCTCTCTACTAGGATGGACCAGGAACCTAAAGGATCTAAAAACTAAGAAAATAGTAGGATTTTACTCGTTCTACATCCATATTTTCCAGGTACCGTTTGTGCTGAACTCCTTTCTTACAGAAGATCACAACTTTAGTTTTTGCATTATTTATTACCAAGATATCCTCTTTGCAGTCGATGCTGGACTTTCTTTGTGTCTTCTCAAACCTGCTTGGTAGTTGATGTTAAGGTGATGCCATCAGCATGAAAGGAATATTTAGAAACCCATCCAAAGCCACGGGCATAGAAAACCTCAAATCCCGTGCAGCCAAAATAATATCATTTACATAAAAGCTAAACAAAAATAGAGCCACAGCATAACACGTGCCTTTTCTCAACTTTTTTCTCATGATTTTACCGTCCTTTTCAGATCACAATAACTTGGCTTTGCTTTTTATCTTGAGGTCTTGAATTAAGATTTACACACTTTTTAGAGATTTAGCACATCAGATATTATATGCTGATAAAACTAGGTTGATATTAGTATTTGGGGATGGTAGCAGGTTATCCGGCTTCTACCATTGCAGACTTCTGAAAAGTACGCAACAGGACATTTTTCCCTGTTGCCATTTTAATTTCTTCTCGGTGGTCCAAAGTAGACATGGGTCTTCTGTCAGTTGATGGTCACTGTCATCTCCAGCAATAATGAAGTATCCAAGAGCAGATTGGCTCATTATTTGGACAAACATATAATCCAATAATAATTTATTAGTTATCTTTATTTTATTTAAATTATTTGTATGGCTGCCCATTTCACGGCAGTGACTCTATATTACTGCGCGACATGTGAATGGAGACATAAAATTTGAGTCTTCCCCATGTAGCATTTGCAGACCAAAAGTGGTTATTTATTCATTTATTAACCACATCTCTATGCCTCCACAATCAAAAGAGTCTCAGGGACTTACATAAAACAGATACTAATTTAAAACATCTCCGGTACAAAATAAAAAGCACCTCCACAATATAACGTACAATAAAACCATTCAGAATCAAGAGAAAGATGGCAACATCAAATTGGGGGCATTTCTCTGAAATAGGTTGTTCTTTAAAAGTGTTGAAAACCCACAAAGAGGGAACTAGGGAGGCTGTTCCACAGCATTGGTGTGGCCCCAGGAAAGCAGCACCTCCTCACTTCAGCTCCACAACCCCCCCCCGCCAAAGTGTAGGATTTGTAGTAGTGGTTTCCAAATACTTGTTAAGGACAGCCCCAGACTGAGCTGTACATATTACAAACCCACATTTGCCAAGATAATGAGATGCCAAGAAGAAAGGACTAATCTCTGAAGTTCCACTAAGTTCTGCGATACTTAGTTTACCTAGTTACTTAGGATAACAGCTTAAAGTGAGTAGGTGTGATGGAATGGTTTGATGAAGGCC